GGTTACTATAGGATTGGAACACAAATTCCGTACTCTCTCATGTCCATATATCTTTCTATAACTTTCCTGCCCAGTTACATGTATTTATACTATACTGCTATGGCAGAACAGCACATACCTAACATTTCTTCACCTTGGCCATCTAATGATCATCCAAGAAATACTTACATTATTTTGTATGACCCAGTGAGAAGGCTAGACCCATACCTAACACAACCATATAGTCCCAGACATTTGCATGACCCAGTGGGCAGGCTAGACCCCTACCTAACCCAACCATATAGTCCCATACATTTGTATGACCCAGTGGGCAGGCTAGACCCCTACCTAACCCAACCATATAGTCCCATACATTTGTATGACCCAGGGAGAAGGCTAGACCCATCCCTAACACAACCTTATAGTCCCAGACATTTGTATGACCCAGTGGGCAGGCTAGACCCATACCTAACACAACCATATAGTCCCAGACATGTGTATGACCCAGTGAGAAGGCTAGACCCATACCTAACACAACCATCACTACATGCTAGACCCATACCTAACACAACCTTATAGTCCCAGAGATTTGTATGAGCCAGTGAGCAGGCTAGACCCATACATAACACAACCATATAGTCCCACCTAACACAACCATATAGTCCCAGAGATGTGTATGACCCAGTGAGAAGGGTCGACCCATACCTAACACAAACATATAGTCCCATTGACATTTGTATGACCCAGTGATAATGCTAGACCCATACCTAACACACCCATATAGTCCCATTGACATTTGTATGACCCAGTGGGAAGGCTAGACCCATACCTAACGCAACCATATAGTCCCATAGACATGTGTTTGACCCAGTGAGAAGGCTAGAACCATACCTAACACAACCTTATAGTCCCAGAGATTTGTATGAGCCAGTGAGCAGGCTAGACCCATACCTAACCCATACCTAACACAACCATATAGACCCATAGACATTTGCATGACCCAGTGGGCAGGCTAGACCCATACCTAACCCATACCTAACACAACCATATCGTCCCATAGACATTTGTATGACACAGTGAGAAGGTTAGACCCATACCTAACACAACCATATAGACCCATAGACATTTGCATGACCCAGTGGGCAGGCTAGACCCCTACCTAACACAACCATATAGTCACATAGACATTTGTATGACACAGTGAGAAGGTTAGACCCATACCTAACACAACCAGATAGTCCCAGACATGTGTATGACCCCGTGAGAAGGCTAGACCCATACATAACACAACCTTATAGTCCCATACATTTGTATGACCCAGTGGGAAGGCTAGACCCATACCTAACCCAACCATATAGTCCCATAGACAGTTGTATGACCCAGTGAGAAGGCTAGAACCATACCTAACACAACCTTATAGTCACAGACATTTGTATGACCCAGTGAGCAGGCTAGACCCATACCCAACAAAACCTTATAGTCCCAGACATTTGCATGACCCAGTGGGCAGGCTAGACCCATACCTAACCCAACCATATAGTCCCATAGACATGTGTATGACCCAGTGAGGAGGCTAGACCCATACCTAACACAAGCTTATGGTCTTATAGACATTTGTATGACCCAGTCTAACACAACCATATAGTCCCACCTAACACAACCATATAGTCACATAGACATTTGTATGACACAGTGAGAAGGCTAGACCCATAACTAACACAACCATATAGTCCCATAGAGAGAAGGCTAGACCCATACCTCACACAACCATATAGTCCCATAGTCATTTGTATGACCCAGTGAGATGGCTAGACCCATACCTAACACGACCTTATAGTCCCAGACATTTGCATGACCCAGTGGGCAGGCTAGACCCCTACCTAACACAACCATATAGTCACATAGACATTTGTATGACACAGTGAGAAGGCTAGACCCATCCCTAACACAGCCATATAGTCCCATAGACATTTTTATGACCCAGTGAGAAGGCTAGACCCATACCTAACACAACCTTATGGTCTTATAGACATTTGTATGACCCAGTGAGAAGGCTAGACCCATACCTAACACAGCCATATAGTCCCATTGACATTTGTATGACCCAGTGAGAAGGCTAGACCCATACCTAACACAACCTTATGGTCTTATAGACATTTGTATGACCCTGTGAGAAGGCTAGACCCATACCTAACACAACCATGTAGTCCCATAGACATTTGTATGACACAGTGAGAAGGCTAGACCCATACCTAACACAACCTTATGGTCTTATAGCCATTTGTATGACCCAGTGAGAAGGCTAGACCCATACCTAGCACAGCCATATAGTCCCATTGACATTTGTATGACACAGTGAGAAGGCTAGACCCATACCTAACACAACCTTATAGTCTTATAGACATTTGTATGACCCAGTGAGAAGGCTAGCCCCATACCTAACACAACCATATAGTCCCATAGACATTTGTATGACACAGTGAGAAGGCTAGACCCATACCTAACACAGCCATATAGTCCCATTGACATTTGTATGATCCAGTGAGAAGGCTAGACCCATACCTAACACAACCATATAGTCCCATAGACATTTGTATGCCCCAGTGAGAAGGCTAGACCCATTCCTAACACAACCATATAGTCCCATAGACATGTGTATGACCCAGTGAGAAGGCTAGACCCATTCCTAACACAACCATATAGTCCCATAGACATTTGTATGACGCAGTGAGAAGGCTAGACCCATCCCTAACACAACCATATAGTCCCATAGACATTTGTATAACCCAGTGAGAAGGCTAGCCCCATACCTAACACAAACATATAGTCCCATAGACATTTGTATGACCCAGTGAGAAGGATAGACCCATACCTAACACAACCATATAGTACCATAGACATTTGTATGACACAGTGAGAAGGCTAGTCCCATACCTAACACAAACATATAGTCCCATAGACATTTGTATGACCGAGTGAGAAGGCTAGACCCATACCTAACACAAACATATAGTCTTATAGATAATGGATAGCAGTCTCATCTCACAAGACATAAAACAAGACCCATACCTAACACAACCTTATAGTCCCAGACATTTGTATGACCCAGTGAGAAGGCTAGACCCATTCCTAACACAACCATATAGTCCCATAGACAATTGTATGACCCAGTGAGAAGGCTAGACCCATTCCTAACACAACCATATAGTCCCATAGACATTTGTATGATCCAGTGAGAAGGCTAGACCCATGCCTAACACAACCATATAGTCCCATAGACATTTGTATGACGCAGTGAGAAGGCTAGACCCATCCCTAACACAACCATATAGTCCCATAGACATTTGTGTGACCCAGTGAGAAGGCTAGACGCATACCTAACACAACCATATAGTCCCATAGACAATTGTATGACCCAGTGAGAAGGCTAGACCCATCCCTAACACAGCCATATAGTCCCATTGACATTTGTATGACCCAGTGAGAAGGCTAGACACATACCTAACACAACCATATAGTCCCATAGACATTTGTATGACGCAGTGAGAAGGCTAGACCCATCCCTAACACAACCATATAGTCCCATAGACATTTGTATGATCCAGTGAGAAGGCTAGGCCCATACCTAACACAACCATATAGTCCCATAGACATTTGTATGATCCAGTGAGAAGGCTAGACCCATGCCTAACACAACCATATAGTCCCATAGACATGTGTATGACCCAGTGAGAAGGCTAGACCCATTCCTAACACAACCATATAGTCCCATAGACAATTGTATGACCCAGTGAGAAGGCTAGACCCATTCCTAACACAACCATATAGTCCCATAGACATTTGTATGACACAGTGAGAAGGCTAGACCCATACCTAACTAGACCCATACCTAACACAACCATATAGACCCATAGACATTTGTATGACCCAGTGAGAAGGCTAGACCCATCCCTAACACAACCATATAGTCCCATAGACATTTGTATGATCCAGTGAGAAGGCTAGACCCATGCCTAACACAACCATATAGTCCCATAGACATTTGTGTGACCCAGTGAGAAGGCTAGACCCATACCTACCACAACCATATAGGCCCATAGACTTTTGTATGACCCAGTGAGAAGGCTAGACGCATACCTAACACAACCATATAGTCCCATAGACATTTGTATGACGCAGTGAGAAGGCTAGACCCATACCTAACACAAACATATAGTCTTATAGATAATGGATAGCAGTCTCATCTCACAAGACATAAAACATGCTTCAAAATAGGTTACAGATCTACAGAATTCACTTGATCAACAAGCTGCAAAACATCAAATTGGTACACAATGTCTTTGATGAAAGGTATTCTGTGAACAGCTATAACATAACCTATTACATAGGAAATATTTATCATTGGAATCCCCAGCTGCCGAATCACCAGCTCTTACAACAGATACAACATGTAACCTGCACGTTGATCTAGAACAACAATTAGCACTACACTACCTTGTATAATTGTCTTTTATCTTTTCAGTATAAAAACAATCAAATTAAATGAAATTTTATAAGAATCTGATTATTTACAGTATGTGCATATCACCTTTTTAATGTAACAATGTAATAATAATCTCAAATTAATGGTGACTTAATATATTTTCTTTACTCTAAGTTTAAGTATTATACCGTATTTAATATGGTTTATTAAATTCTATAAATAATATTATGTAAGTAATCACCAAATGTACTGTCTTTCTACTTCTTCACAGTCATAACCCCTTCCAGTTTTCAATTATATCTGTTTGGTTCCCATTTTAGCTAAAGACTAATCCTATGTAAACATTATAAAATTCAACCCATTTGAGCCTTTTATTCACTAACCCATCCCAGTAATATACACTATAATACAATTCAGTCTGTTAGTTGTAGAGCCAGTTATGTAATTCATTAACCCTGACCCGACATCATACACCATGCAATATCACCCGTTAGTCAATGAGGAAGGTTCGCCGATCGTGAACCACTCGTGTAGGCACCTGTCTTGTCTTGTAGTCCGCTACTACGTTCCCGGACTTGGTCCGTATCGGTGCCCCAGCTCCTGGCCTTCCCCATGGGTCATACTGCTTTTCCAGTTCAACTGTAAAAAATAATAATAATCATAATCATAACAAAATGCCATTATTTTTCATTTTCACCACAAAGTTTTTCTTTGTAAAAATATACAATTTTTAAAACTATTTACATGTCAATTTATAGTCCATGTGTCCTAATCTATTCATATAGTTTATAGGACGAAAGTTTTACAATACCAGCTTAGCAGAGGCTGAATCCCCAAAAATTAAATTGTAAAAGGTTAAACCCGATCTTACTCCATTCTACTTTAAACACAAAAATAAACACATACGTCTGTCTCTTTCCCACTGAAGTTTCTTTTTCTCCGCCAGTGTGAGTGGCTTGGGTGGAGGGGGCAGGCCTGTGGGAGGTTTGGAAGCTGCCCTGTCTGGCGATTTCTCCTCTGTCCTGTGACTAGTGTTCTTTTCGTCCTGATCGTCATCAGATGGAGTTCTATCCCTACGCCGATCCCTGCGTCTTCTTTCCCGCGAGTCTGGACTATCTTTCCTTCGATGTGAGCGACTGTCTTTTTTTCTATGATCACGATCGTAGTAATCATCGTCATCACTTTCCTGTTGTTCTGGACTGTAACGTCTTCGCTCTCGACTTCCTTTTTTATTGTGCCTACTCCTGTGATCATCGTGATCATCGCGATCATCTCGATGATTGTTTCTGTCCCTCTCCTTTTCTTTGCGTTTACTGTCACGATCAGTTCTGTCATAGTCTTTTCTATAATGGTCTTTGTCTTTTCTTTCACTTTCACGATCATTTCTTTTACGATCATTTCTTTCGTGTTCTCCCCTTCCACGAGAAGTATCCTCATCGTTCATTTTTTCACGTTCCTCTATCTCAAATTTCTTTTTCTCAATTTCTTTTCTGAAAGGTCAAGCAAAAGACACATTTAAAGAAAATCAGGCGGACATAACAACTATCCATTAGCACAAAGTTTTCTCCACAGGTTTACAACAATGAGCTGGTAAATCTATACAAATGTTGAACTACCAGGCTTCATTCCATACTACATTGTATTACCAAAACCTTTTCTGATTTATAAGTGTACCAGTTAAAATTGCAAACTCCACAATATCTTTACTCTGTATCTCCTCTAACATTTCAATCAAAGGCAGAAATTTATACAATGGTCAGTCTATAATACCATTTCTTGTGAAAAAATAAGCAAAAAAACTAATTACAAGGAAGCAAATGTTTTTGACAGATTTCTTGCATATCCTATATGGTAAAACAAATCTGTAGAAAATATGTGTCAGCTGAAAACTGTTGATTACACCAACTTGCTGATAAAATTATTCTAAATATCAGTACTTATTTTTCTACTTTGGAAAATCTCCTAAGATGTTTTATATCAAATAATCTTTTAGTGAAAGGAAATATTGTGTATTGTTTCCTCCTTTGATCAGTTGTATATATGTCATTGACATATCATTTGACCTCTTCGGGAAATGATCCCGAATATTTCACACCAGAGTTAACATAACACAGGGCTGATCATGTAATTATTATAAGAGATACAAGACAGCAGAAGTTAAACTGACTGTACGACAGACCCTAGAGGACCTTTAAGTTAAACTGATTGTACGACAGACCCTAGAGGACCTTTAAGTTAAACTGATTGTACGACAGACCCTAGAGGACCTTTAAGTTAAACTGATTGTACGACAGACCCTAGAGGACCTTTAAGTTAAACTGATTGTACGACAGACCCTAGAGGACCTTTAAGTTAAACTGATTGTACGACAGACCCTAGAGGACCTTTAAGTTAAACTGATTGTACGACAGACCCTAGAGGACCTTTAAGTTAAACTGATTGTACTACAGACCTAGAGGACCTTTAAGTTAAACTGATTGTACTACAGATCCTAGAGGACCTTTAAGTTAAAATGATTGTACGACATACCCTAGAGGACCTTTAAGTTAAACTGATTGTACTACAGACCCTAGAGGACCTTTAAGAATGTAGTCATCGTGAATTAATGTATGTGACAATTCCATATGATATAAACTCATGTACATCTGTATTTATTTAATCCAACTTCCAATAATTCAAATCCTTTTTGTTATTGTTCCATAGAATTTCAGCAGTACCAATTATTTGAATTTGATATAATGATCTCTGATGGTAAATTCCTTTATAAATTCAATCAGTCACACCACAAGAAATCTATATTCACTTCATGCATTTTTCAGGGTAATGTATACTCTACATGTATTGAAACCTTTGTAATACAAATCTCACTCTTAGTTTAGTCATTTAACATTTATCGCTGCTATATATTCTAATTCCTACTGGGAATGTATGTTAGTACAGTCAACAATTAAACTCCTCTACATTTTTATGCTCTATGTCCTTATCTCTGTTAGCTTACATTAACACCACATATTAGTACACACATCACTCTGCATTGGTATTAGCTATAGTTAACAAAGCTACCTTTACATTGTATTCAATTCAATTCCATAGTAGAAATTATAAACTTTTATAACATCTGTAGGTTCTGTAACAGATCTGTAGTACAACAGTAGCTGAGGCTGACACAGAACAGATAGTTCCAGACTTCACCTTGCTGATGTAAATATGTACTGTAAATGTCTAAAACAATTCTTACACATCATTTCAATTCTGCTAACTTCATTTTCCTTATTCCTTCAACGTTTTTGTACTGGTAATACTACGTGAGTTTATTTTTTAAAGTGATTTGTTAAACAAATTTTGTTCAATACAGCCTGAATTATTCTTTATTTCAGCGACTACATTTCCAAGATTAAAGGCATTTCTTGAAAACTTGGGGTCCAAAAACTGTTATAGGGGTGAAACCCCTCATTTGAGGGTTTCTTGGAACACTGAACATGACATTAAAATTATAAGCATGCAGCAAATAATTTGTGTAGAAAGTTGTGGCAGGAAGCAAAGAAATGGAAAAGTGACGGAATGTTTAAATCTTCCGCACAACATCTAAACATGCTCTATGAATAATGGTTCATAATAACTTAAAATTTGCTTAGCCCCTGATCCAATCAGAAAAAAGACAGAAAATCTGAGACAATCCACATCAAGGTCATCACACCACTTACATTGCAGCTTCAGCCTCTATCCTGGCTAGCATTAACCTTCGCCGTTCTCCCACGGTCATGTGTTTCCACGGTAACGACATGGGTATACCAGCTATCTCCCTCGGTGTGACCATTTTTTTCTCTACAGTTTCCTCTTTCTTATCACTCTCATCATCCTCACTAGCCTTATGTCTATCATTTTCCCTGTCTTTAGAAATGTTTTTTCTATTTTTCTGTGTTTCGTTCTTTTCTCTTTTAGTTCTACTTTTCCTCTCTGGTGAAATTTCTCGATCATCTTTATCGTTGTCATTTTCACTGTCATTCCTTCTCCGTCTCCTATCACGTTCCCTGCTCTGACTACCATCTCGTTTTCTACTTCTCTCTCTATCCCTACTTCTGTTCCTGACTTTACTCTGTTTTTCAGTACCACGCCTTATTTCTCTGCTTGATTCCTCTTTTCTACCTCTTCTCTCGTTTACATTTTCTCTATCAGAACCATAATTATTGTTCTCATCATCTACTTTCTTTCTCTCCTTTTTCTTATTTTTGTCTTCCGTATGTTCCCTATAGAAAACCAAAATAATTTACTTTACCATTTATGAAACTTTAGGAAAGATAAAATAGTTTTCTTTTAACATTTCTTTACATAATTTGAATTAAAAAAAATATGAATATCTTTGACATTTATCAGTCACTTTCTTTCAATAACTCTTTAAATTAAATTGATAATGTTACAAAATATTGTGAAAATTCACATTTCAATAACTATTAAAATTTACATGTAGCAGTAAAAACTAAATTTGTGTATTAAAATATATTGCATTAGAAAGTAACAGCAGAAGAGTTAATGAAAAGATATTTTGAATATGTAAAATCGAAAGCATGTTATCATTAGACAAAAATATTTATATGCTATTTGTAATCTAACCTCCTGAAGAAGTAAGACTTGGTATTAATGTATGAAGTAAACTAAAGTTAGATAAATTCACTACTGACTAGCAATACATATAACTTGCTGTTTCTTTCACCTCACCCACTTTCAGAAAGGGTAAAAAATAAAATTCAGGAGAATTAAATCATTAACCCCTGAAGACACATTTGAGCTCTTCCAATTCAAAGGTTGGAATAGTTCATTATGAAATTTCAGGGGTGAATGAGTTTAGGAAACTTAAAGTAATTAAACTTGAGTTGTTTAATTGAAATATTCTATCACAGAGGGAATCTGTTATCCACATTATCCCAGGAAAGTAAGGAAATATTGGTTCAAAATCTAGTCAATGTAAAGGAAATAAAATAAAAAAGATGTTTCAGAAAATTAAATATATTCAACGAAGTTGTATTTTCAGATTTAACCGAGCTAGTGCTGTTGGAAATTAAAAACACTTGTTTCCAGAAAAAAGGAAAATACTCAGCACTGCTTCTATTAATATCTGCTCGATACAACAGGACAGGATCGGGAAAGTCCTATAAATTGTGAGGATATTATACTGCAACTGAACCATTTAAGCACACAAGTTCCTCCGCAGAAGTCGACTCTAACAGAAGTTCTTGTTTCAATATTATCTCAACTCTAACAGAAGTTCTTGTTTCAATATTATCTCAACTCTAACAGAAATTCTTGTTTCCATAGTTTCAGGGTCCTTACATATCATTATGGTCCACTCAAGTTTTTGACATTCTCTGTCTTCTTTGAAATTGAGACTATTTCTTTATTGACAGTATTCAAAATCTTCATAATCAGCTTTGGCTTATTTCATGTTTAGTACAGAATTCTCGACTTCTTTTCACAGCAGGCCAATATTCAACGTAGTATTATTATTCAATTGGATTAATTTTGATATATATTTATATGCAGTGCAAATAAATAAATAAAGCTACAATAGTCATAATGAATGGTTAGAGGCAGTTGTATGCAGGTGACAGGATACTGCCATCACAGTTCACACTGCTTCCAATTAACACATATATATAGCAGTTGCATATGATTAGCATGTGAGGAATATATATGTAGTGCATATATATTGTATCTTAAACATAGGACTGTTACAAGTACCTGCCTACCAATATCATAATGTATAGTTCAGGTTCTGATTGTCTGGATGTTAGGTTAGTACCTGTAATTAGGTAATATCCAAAATTCTATACTTATGCCAGCCCTAATTTACAACATTTTTTCTGTGTCATGCAGTGATAACAATGTCCAGATTTTCATGTTTACAATCCCACCTTTATTTCCTTGAGTAGGTATGTACATTCATGTACATCGAGAATCTTAACCCATTCATAATACTGTCCTTTTGCTTTTCCAGAAACGGGGAACAATGGCAACATTCAACACAAGGACCACATGTGTTAATTTTCTCTGATACAAAATATCTTAATGTATGACATGTGTAGTAAACTAGCCAAACTAACTAGCTACAGTAAATACAGTCAAGAGCTTTGCCAGATACACACTTGTATTTTGTGAAAAGGACCCATTCTAAAATTGAGAAAATTGTCTGCCTTTTCGGCTACAAAAATAGAAAATATTATCTATAGGTGTGCTTGTGTCATTGCAACAAGGTAAATGCAATACACAGTAAATTCTGTTGTTTTAGAATCTTAATTTTGACACCTTTCATGTATTTTTTTCAAATGTAAAACATTTACTAAAAAAACAATTTTTTTTACAAAAAAGGACCCATCAACTGTTGGCAGAACTTTGACTGTTGATCCAAAAGATGTTGCATGTAAAGGAAAACTACTATTACCTCATACGGGCAATTATAGTTTAATGGTGTGCTTAAACAATTCTAGTAATGTAATATTTGAAATGAAATTTTCTGTTTCTAAACGTCTAATATTTTTTTTTTTTTGCAATTTGACTGATCATGACCTCTAATTTTTGATTTGGTAATTTGATTGTAAAATGATGATTGTCAATTCTCAACCCAACAAGGTTTTTGATTCATACAATTTCCAATTTTGAAAGGTCTATTTACCTGAATTCATCAACTGCAAAATATCAGCTTTTGTTCAAAAAGATGAACAACTATTTTCATTAAAGATATGGAACCTTTGGAATATATGGTGAATTCAATAAACTGATTTTGAGCTTAATTAATATGCACTTTTTACATGATAATGTTATAAACAGGAAGTATAGCAAAATATGAGTCCACATTAACCAAACTAAGAAGTGAAATAACTAAACAGAGACTACACAGGACTGAAAAGTAAGCCAGTGACTACAGACAATGTATCTTACTTTTTACTTGACTTTGACGGTTTCTTTGTCTCTGGACTAAACTCCTCCAATAGGGAGAAGATGGTTGTTTCCTCTTCCTTCGTGGGCCGTGCTTTCTTCGTTTTAGTTTTCACTTCTTTTTCCTTTTTATTGTCGTTGTATTTTTCATCGTCGTCATCGTAGCCACTTTCTGCTGAGTGATGATCATAATAATCACCATCACGACTTTTCCTTGGAGACTCAATTGTAATAGAATTTTTCTTGGAATCTAAAAACAGATAGGGCTTGATAAGAATTTTTCAGAACTTAATACAGTCAATTTCGAACTTCCTACTGATATAAATTAAGCTTATCATGAAGAAATAAAAACATAAAAAAATGTTTGAAAAAATGTTGCATATATAGATATTTAGATATGATTATCTCCCTTAGACTTCCACTGGGCATTTAAATGAAATTTTGCATCTTCATTGTTTGTAACTTGTAATTTTTATCTTTTTTCCCCCCGTATTATTTAACTTTAGAAGATATTTGCTGTCTATTTATGTTCTATATTGCATAATTTATAAGTGCATGATTACATTGATTTCTTTTGAAATAAATCAAAATAAAAAATAATTTAAAAAGTTAATTTCATAAATAAAAAGAGAAGAAAACTCACACACCTGTAAAGAACTGATTTGTTTTGTGCTTTAAACTCACCTATTGAAATGCGTAAGTTGTCCTCTTCTCCTGTAGCAACTTTCCCTACTGAAGCTAAGATGGCGTTAAGTTGATCTTGAGTAAGGGTCACTGTGCCAGTGGGAGATTGCTTTAAGGGGCGTAACGTTGGTTTCTTTCCTTTGTTTTTGCTAGCAGCTAAGTGCCTGTTCCTCTCAATGAAGTTAGGTTTGGGTGTGCTGTCATCGTCCTTTCCCGGCTCTGGCTCTAAATCTTCGGTGTTGTTGGGATCCTTCCGAATTGTGAATCGTTGATCTTTACGCTTGTAACCAAACTGTAAAATTTGATAATAATACATAAAAATTGTTAGCAAGAAAGATCTTCAGTTCTTTTTTTTTAATAAATAATAACTTTCAAATTTTTAAATGACTATCAAGTCATTATCAACCATTATAATAAAAAAAAAGACAAAAAATTGTAACTGATTACATACATGTGTACTGTAAAGCCGACAATTTTACAGTTTCATTAAATACCAGCAAGCTTGTACAACGTACTAAAATTATCCAGTCGGACATACATGATTTATTACTCCTGAATCAAACTGACAATGAATTGTTTGATAAACCATTAACTCACTTTTCTATCAGCTTTCTTTTTCTCTGAAAGACAAAAGAATCTGTTGTTTAGTACAGGTTTGATAATGTCAAATGAAACCATTAGTTCTTAGAAAGGAACAGTAAAGCAATTTCACAGGTTGAAAATGCTAAATTGAAGGTTCCAAAATCGGGAGTCTCCCTCCTAAATAGGGAGAGTTGGCAAGTATGCATAGACCAGTAGACACTTGAGGATAGTGATCATGATGGGCAATTATAATTAATTTTAAATCACCATCAGTAATTGTTTTGTAATCAGATGTAGTACCGTAAATTTGCACGTATAGTACACATGTTTTTAGGTAAATATTGTCATGCAAAATAGGGGGTGCGCACTATACGCAGTCAAGTCATTCTTGGGTTATCGTTCTCGAGGAAATCAAAGCTACTATTGGTCATAAATGTAAAAAAACAAACTTTTACAGTACATGTACAGGTACTTACGATGTACACGTACAGTAGACTTATAAATCCGCAGGGCTTGCATTAACGATTACCAAGTCACCAAATGGCGACACTTTTTCAGATTTGATGACAAAAAAATCAGTCTGGCTATATTCTTTGGCAACACAATTTTGACCCACTCTAAAATTATTAAAATCGGTAATCTGTGGTCATGACTGCTGATTTGGCGACAAACACTAGCTGGGGACAGGTAACATTTTTACAGGTAAGATGACCAGAGAGCATAACCACTGATGCCGTCTGATCCCGGACAATAGGTAGGATCGCAATGCTTCAGCGAAATTTATTGACACTTCTAAACACCACAGTTAATACAAATTAAAATGCAGTAATTAGCTAAAACTCTATCAGTGATAACCGATTAACAATAGCTCTACTGCAATTTAATTGAAATTATTTGCAGTCGCGATCAAGGGACAGTGTTGTTTTCACTCCTCAACATTTGGCGTGAAGCCCTACTGCACTGTTAGAACTACAGACTGATTTGATAGTGAAGGGATTATAAAAATATGTGTTTACTAGAAGTGTGGACATTCAATACATCCCCTTCAAATCTACTGAAGGGAAAAAAATAAAAGCAGAATACACTATTTTTATGATGCTTCATTTTGAAATATTGAAATAATTCTCGAGGTTATCGATCATGTGTTTACGTCAAGGTAAAGGTATACATACGTAATTGGACTTTTGATTTAAATTACTAACGTACACTTAAACAAACCCCATAAAATCTTGCATAAAATTTTCCATTTCTTTTGTTTAGATCCAGTTTAATTTATATATAGTATTAATGAGAATTAATGTTAGGTAACTGTAAAGATAAATTTCCTCTATGTTTCATAAGATTTACCTACAACAAATATACTGACCTTGTTCCCAAAATATCCCAGACTTTCCATTTTGTGCTTTGAACTTCAGGTACCTGGAAAACACAACAATGAATAATAAAACTGAAACCAAGGAAATGATATGAATTTATTTTTGTTTAACTTTCATTGTTATATTTGTACTTTAAAATGAGGAGTTCTAAGTTGTCGACTTCCAAGTATACAAATACACTGTACCATATATAAGATCTTTCAATCATAAATCCTGGTTTGAGTTCCATCAGGAAAAGAAACGTGAAAATCTCACTTGGACTGTAACCAAAGACTTAAGCCTTTCATCACTGTAGACCAAAATGGACTCATCGAGATAAATGTATGGTATAGTCTGGAAATGCTCAAAAAAAGTTTTGCATGAAATGTTGCATGAAAGCATGTTTTCACAGCAGTATTTTGCATTTTAAGAGGTTTTGAAACTCATCATTATGTTTAAATATTTATCATGGTCAGTACTCTGACCAATTCAGGCAGTTTAAGTTCAACTCTAAATTAAATAAACTTCCTCATATAAACATAATGTCTGTTTATACAGACAACCATCCAAGGGAAATAATCCACATTCTTGCTTTTGGGGCATTTCCTGTGATAACTGATACCAATTTCGACTACAAAGTCCTGTCATAAAAAGGATCATTTAATTTTCATACATTGAAGTTCAATATTTGAAAAATAATCTATTTGGCATTCAAATTTCTACAGGGCATATCCCATTACTTCGAAAAATGGCATTCGCTCAGGTGGGAAATTTTGAACAATTGAAAACCGAGGACTCTACAGACGGAAAGCAGCAGCTGTTGGTGATAATAAGAGCGGATTTGAAGCAATAAATAATCCAGTTATCGACATATGTGAAGTATGTGTTATGTCATAATTTTGTTGTCAGCACCCCAAAACTCTTCGATACCAAACGGTGTTGGAGAATTCCACGTTTTCATACAGCAGTGCGCTCTGGCCCCACACCAGACATTTACCTATCAAAATGCCTAAGTCTGGTGTCAGGGCCAGAGGAATCTTGGGCTACCTGTGTACCATTAATGCATCTCCCCTAACCACCGGGAACTAACCTTACATGATACCACTGGGTTACTACTGTATATGCTGCCACCAAATAAAACGTGTGGGTGGTCGACTATATAATATACCCAGCTACTGACCATGCTGGACATTGCTAAACTAGTGAGCGGGTCCCTGGGTTATAGATATATATATATGCGTACTGCATTGCTGGAAAAGTAACTCTTGACGCACAGTTAGGCAGTATTTCCCCTTGTATTGTCTGGCTGTTATAATTTTCCCTCCTCTGAGAAGTCTCATCCTGAGACTTGGTCTCCTCTAACCACCTGGAACTGGCCTTATATATATATGATATCACAGGGTCAGTATGCTGCCAGTAAGGCAGTATTAAAGTTGTGGTAAAGTTTCATTCTTAAAAAATGTTTATTTTGTTAGGAAATCGACAAAATAATTCTTCGCGATTCAGAAGTCAATTTCAAGGGAAGTAACTCGTACATTTGCAAAATACGCCATAGCAATGAATAGGACAAGACTAGGTAGTACTTGACTGTTTTTTTGTTTTTATATATGAATGTAAATATAGAAAAAATTACAAAAACATTTAAGACAATGAAAATATTTTCCAAATGTACGAGTTACTTCCCTTGAAATTGACTTCTGAATCGCGAAGAATTATTTTGTCGATTTCCTAACAAAATAAACATTTTTTAAGAATGAAATTTTACCACAACCTGTTTATTGCATATACCAAAGGATAAAACAGTTATTTGCTGAAAATAATTCTTATATTTTGCTATGGCTTGAAAAAACACATATGGCGCTAATTAGTGTAAAAGTGCTTCGTAATCAAGTTCGATTTTCTAACAAAGTACAATTTTTTTTTAAATGATACTTTACCAAAACATGTTAAATGAGAATATTTCGTGGATATAACACTTACATTTTGCTATGGCGTGCAAAAACTCCTATGGCATACCTATGCCGCTAAATCTCCTATGGCGCAAATTAGTGTGACCGTACAAGATACAAGATACATCGCATATATCAAACAGAGAAACACTAGCGCTGTAGCGCTATTTTTGCGACAAACATGATAAAAAGCAAACAGAAAACAACAAATCAAGCTCAAATCAATTCATATTCCTTAGCTGTTACAGTAGCATGTGGACAGATTGCATTGCATGGCATCAGGGTCTATAACTGGGTGCAAGTCTGTTTCTGATTTTTGGTATCAACACTTAAAAGATGTGTACTCGTGACAGATTGAAATCTACTGTACTGCACGCATATAATCAAAGGAATGTGCAATGCACACGGGCACGTGCCAAGCATCGTAGCAAGGTGAAATGATAGTATGTAAAGGAGAAAGAGATATCTTAATTTGGTCTACACGAGCTTGATGCTCACTTCGAATTCGGTGCCATTCAAATGGAAGGTAAGATAAATAAGGGCTACAGTACAGCTACTGTCGGATTTGACAGTTCATTGCTGTTAGAATGGTAAACGTTTGAAATAGAAGAAATATTCTCCAAAACTTGAAAATAGCGTTCTAATCATACTTAGCCAATTGTCAACCTGTCCTTACCCGTAATCCATTGTTGTTTTTTCTTACTCCGTGAGTAATTTGATCACATTCCTACGTAAAAACACATAAACATGTCATTCGCTGGTATTTTGGCCATGTTTTGTTGTCGCCAAGAATCCAACTAATATTGACATGCGCATACACGTTTTCCGCGCGGTGTCCGTCAAGGGACGCAACTGCAGACAGGTTGGTCGCACGCTACAAATGAATTGGGTTGACAAGGCCGTTTATTTTACATCTGGCAACAACACTTGTCGGTCCTACCTAGCTGTAACCACTTAATCTTTTATTTTAGGTTATACATTAAAAAGACTGTTAAAATAGTCAACTCTGACAAATGACCTTTTAGGTGCTCCATCAGTTAAATAAAAATATATTTAAGAATTAAAATCAGTGCTGAATATTCGTTTTTAAGGATGTCTTGGCTCCATGTAAGTGGGAGAAATCCCATTAAAAACAACACATTCACCCTCCCTTTTCGATTTGATTTGATAATTTTTTTCTAATAATATACATTTAAATTTAACTTTTGCATTTCTTCACATCCTTGCTACAAAAGTTTCACAGATAAAAATGAAAGTGCATGTAGTCAGGAACAGAAGTAAGACCATGGAATTAGCTGATCTAAGTCTGTGGTGAGACAAAAAGTGTAAAAAAAACGTTTCCGAAATAAAATCTACATGAGCTTCATCAGTTAGATAACACATTCTGATCAGCTAGATAACAAAGTCGATCCATTGGATTTAAAATAGTAAAATCAAAATCAGCATATTAAGATATGGAGAGGAGGTGTTTTGCGCATATTAAAAACAAATATATATATATATTAAAAATTAATTTAATTTTCACATTCAATAAACTTCGTGTTTTCTCCGTTAAAAGTTGTAAGGAAGACAAAATAAAAAGCGACGTTATCAGAAATGAAACACCACCTAAATGTTGGTCTAGGTACAATGCATGCAGATTTTTGTATTAAATACAGAATCAAGTTAGATATGGAGGATGTAAATTATATCTACAAGCAGTCGTAGACAGTAGGATGTAAAAAAGAAACCTGATGTTAATTTTAGCAAATTTCAGAATTTTATTATCAGAGAAAATAGTAGCAAATGCATATTTTGGAAAGATGTGTTTGTATGGTGCACGAAGAAAAACATCTGGAAAGAACATGGTAGAGTGTATATTTTGAGAACAGTTTGCATATATTGTTTCGATATATACCGCTATAAAGCATATTTAAAATCAAAGCGTGTTATACATGTAGAGGGAATGGTACTAGAAAGGAATTATACCAACGATTGTTTATCTTCTCAAATACGAGACAACAATTTTGTTTTATAGATTTTTAGAAATGGAGGCAATCCTTTAAGATCAGAACTAAACTTTCTTCATTTCCAGGTGTTATTTATCGTAACGATGTTCACACCAAATGTATCAAGGTCAGATATGTTTGTGAGCAAACTTCAAGTTATATGCGCCAATTTACAAGAAAATTATTCTTAAATGTTATATACTAAGCAAAAATTTCACCACTAATATTTTCCAAGAAATTGAGAATAAGACAACATCAAATTACTGAAAATAGCAACGGAATGTAGTTTTACACTGGTTTGATTGTAGTATTGCAGAAAGTGTAAAACAATTTTGCGACACCAGGGAACAATATTCCAGCATTTGGTTTACTATTAATGTAAATTAGATGCTAGCAATCAGTTAATTTGATAGAATGAACATGTTAAAACGTCACTTTGTATAATTGTCATTTCACATGAAATGATCTTACAGTAGAACATCTTTGCACACTTTCATCCTTACAAAAGGCATGGATTTAAGTTCACTAGCAAATAATTATTGTAAGAATCGGCTAAAGGCCTACATATGTTTTGGAGACAAAGGGAAAACTCAAATCTTGCAGTATGTGCAATGTTTTTTTATAATCTTGAATTTAAGTACGAAGCATTCGTGGTAAATACACTCTGCCAGGATAAAAATCTTACGAAATACGAGTTATGGTATATCAGAACGAACTCAAATTAGAACAAACAAAATGTTATTACTCAATTTATTTTATATTGAAAACACAACATGCAAATTGAGAAATATTCAAAACCACAAGACAATCACAATGAAGATATTGACGAGCATAATACACGTTGCCATTGAAAAAACAAGAGATCTTATTCATGTTCCTTTCCCAAGGTAAAACGTGTCATTGTATAATAGTATAAAACACACATTGTTATTAGCTATACTACAGTAAATATATCAAATAGTATAAACGTACAAATGATAAACATTGAAAGATATAAATCCAGAATGATATAACGAAAAACTACTTTAGAAATATAACAAAAGTTCCAGGTAGTATTATCAAGAGAAAAACACTAGAAATATAAAAAATGAAATAAAAAAGTGATGCAGAAAAGCTAAATAACGATTATTATAAAGTGTGGAGTTGACAAAGGAAACACAATCTTTTGCTACAATAAATGGTCTAGGATTCCTTACACAACACAGCCCAAAAGAAATAACAACAATAAATTAACAGATATGTATGGTAGTATAATTGTGACTACCAGATGTCAAACTCTCCGTTTATATATATTAACTGTTACAGAGAGACTATATATGCATTTCGTACGATCATGTAGTGGATAAAAGTAGGTCCATTAATTCCCAACACAGTAAACAGGTAAATACATTGTAAAAAAATGAGTTTGATTATTCCTATATTTACAATGGGATTTCGAGGTTGGTTTGATTATGTCATAACAGTTTGGAATATTGCAGTAAACATATTATATTATATTATAAATTGTTTAAGATATTGACATTATGTCACGTTCGTTCATCCACATGCATTTGGAAACATTAACCTAAACTTTAAATCTACATCAAGCAGTTCAATAAACTGAGTTTAACTTCACCAAAGAAATGAACTAATGAAATAAATGTACCAACACTAATGAAATTATATCATGTCCAAATCTCATATTACACCAGGGGATGCGCCTTTCCCAGGAAGACACTGTAAGGCGCTAAGATGAATTTTTGGTCGGTGTTCGGTTTCATCACGCCAAAGAAATCTCCGGTAAAAGCGTCAGTTACGCTGTAACCATTGACGCCGAGAAGGTCAAGCGTAGAGCCCTTCACAACGATCTACAAAGGATCAACGACAGTGGTCATCTATATACCTTCACAACGATCTACAAAAGATCAACGACAGTGGTTATCTATATACCATATGAGTAGTACCTTCACAACGATCTATAAAGGATCAACGATAGTAGTCATCTATATACCATATAAATAGAAACCTTCACAACGATCTACAAAGGATCAACGCCAGTTGTCATCTATGTATACCATATAAATAGATACCTTCACAACGATCTACAAAGGATCAACGACAGTTGTCATCTATGTATACCATATAAATAGACACCTTCACAACGATCTATAAAGGATCAACGATAGTAGTCATCTATTTATATGGTATATAGATGACCACTGTCGTTGATCCTTTGTAGATCGTTGTGAAGGGTTCTATTTATATGGTATATAGATGACTACTATCGTTGATCCTTCATAGATCGTTGTGAATGTATCTATGTATACCATATAAATAGATACATTCAGAACGATCTATGAAGGATCAACGATATTAGTCATCTATATACCATATAAATAGAAAGCTTCACAACGATCTACAAAGGATCAACGACAGTGGCCATCTATGTATACCATATAAATAGACACCTTCACAACGATCTATAAAGGATCAACGATAGTAGCCATCTATATACCATATAAATAGAAAGCTTCACAACGATCTACAAAGGATCAACGACAGTGGTCATCTATGTATACCATATAAATAGATACATTCACAACGATCTATGAAGGATCAACGATAGTAGTCATCTATATACCATATAAATAGAAACCTTCACAACGATCTACAAAGGATCAACGACAGTGGTCATCTATATACCATATAAATAGATACCTTCACAACGATCTACAAAGGATCAACGACAGTGGTCATCTATATACCATATAAATAGATACCTTCACAACGATCTACAAAGGATCAAGGACAGTGGTCATCTATATACCATATAATTAGATACCTTCACAACGATCTACATAGGATCAATGTTAGTGGTCATTTATATACCATATAAGTAAATCCCTCCACAACGATCTACATAGGATCAATGTTAGTGGTCATTTATCGACTATGTAAGTAAATTCCTCTACAACAATATACAAGTAAAGGATCAACGTTAATCAATCAGCTAGCTACATGTCTTCGATTTTACTATGACATTTACCAGGGGTGCATAGAGCGAAAGTGAGCATAACCCCTGTATGGTCAAGGATCTTGGTTATTATTCTTAAATAGGTGACGTGTAATATGGAGATCTTTGCCTAACTGCAATTACTGTCAGTCGTTTATCTGGGACTACACCAAGAATCTGTCTGACAGTATACACTTCTACCAATTAATCTACTTGTTTATCAAGACAGCTGAAAGCCCCACATGTGTTTGTGTAAGATTTGGAAATAGATCCAACATTCCAAAACGAATAGCACTGCACCATACAAGTGTTGTGTCCTTCTATGTGTTTTGAGATACTAGACTACATTAAATCCATCAGATCCATTTGAAGTAATTTACAAAGGAGTCACACATATTGTATTACAATGTATCTGGATCGCTTAACAAAATCCTACAAAGGAGTCACACACATTGTGTTACAATGTATCTGGATGGCTTCACAAAATCCTACAAAGGAGTCCCACACATTGTATTACAATGTATCTGGATCGCTTCACAAAATCCTACAAAGGAGTCACACATATTGTATTACAATGTATCTGGATCGCTTAACAAAATCCTACAATGGAGTCAAGCATATTGTATTACAATGTATATGGATCACTTAACAAAATCCCACAAAGGAGTCACACATATTGTATTACAATGTATCTGGATCACTTAACAAAACCCTACAAAGGAGTCACACACATTGTATTACAATGTATCTGGATCGCTTAACAAAATCCTACAATGGAGTCAAGCATATTGTATTACAATGTATCTGGATCGCTTCACAAAATCTTACAAAGGAGTCACACGCATTGTATTACAATGTATCTGGATCGTTTAACAAAATCCTACAAAGGAGTCACACACATTGTATTACAATGTATCTAGATCGCTTCACAAAATCCTACAAAGGAGTCCCACACATTGTATTACAATGTATCTGGATTGCTTAACAAAATCCTACAAAGGAGTCAAACATATTGTATTACAATGTATCTGGATCGCTTCACAGAATCCTACAAGGGTGTGTGTGTGTGTGTGAGTGTGTCACACACACATTGTTTTTACAGTGTAACTGGATCGCTTCACAAAATCATACAAAGGAGTACATTTAGTTATAGGTGTCATAGAGATCTACAATGACGTCAAGTATACTTTGTTTTGCATACTGTATCTTTTAGCAAATTTTACAAGTAACTGTGTGTATCTTACGTTCATGTACAGCGGAGTTTAAGCGTTATTAGTCATACATACGTTATCCTGTTGTTATTTGTTTATCACTTCACAGAAATATAAAAATGAATTTAGTATTAGCACTCATATATACAATGTACTATAGTTATAAGTCTTCAATGGTACTTGGAAAACAGTCAAAGTTCTGTTCAAACATGTTTGCTACGTGTATGTTGTACAGTTTTTCCAGTAAAAAACTCTATTAAAACGGAGATTATATGCTAGATTTCCTTAAATATATCTATCTGCTTACATGAGTTTCTGATCCTCTATTAGCAAAGTTCAATACAGCGAAGGCGCGACTTCCTTTTGGCATCATTGGTTTTACCCAAATTTGACGTAATTCTGACTAAAACAGCATTCATCCTCTGTAATTTCTTATTTTCAAACCAACGCTACTGTAAATATTACACACATATACTACGCTAGTTTCTCAATGTATGAATCCATCCACATAAAAATGTTTAATTCCTTACTATCAAAACTCATACCGGATATAGCGTATACTCCCTTAATGTCAAAACGAATACCTTCTTGCTGTTAAAACGAGAGTCTTATTACCCTTTGAAAACATATTTTCTTCATTAGAGCTCCATCTATAAACATTTACTCTCAGATATAATATAACATATGTCTAGTCAATGTGCAAATAGAAATAGATATTGTAAAGCATTACGTTCAAACATTGCATATCGTCATAATTCAAATATATAGGTGTTTACAAAAGAACCAATTGTACAGCCTTACTGTGACTTTAAAGGTGCAAAACATAGCAACATTTATCATTTATCACCCTTAAAAGTAAGAATGCTTATACTAAAATGTTGTTAAAACCCAAAAACTGCAAACACCTAATACAGGTTACAGTTTCCCTATCGGAAACTGATTGGGTTCCGTTATACTTGTAAGCGAAATATTTGACCAATCATGGCGAAACGTCAAATTCAAAATTTGACGGAAATTCCCGACTGGTTCCTATTGGCGTTTTGTCGCTTGACGGACTTGGTAACATGACCTTTTAAAATGGCTGTTTCACCATTTAGTAGCGTTAGGGTTTTTTTCAATTAACATTATATACAATTAAAAAAAGTGTATTACTTTTTTTCTCGAAAATAAACATAAGGATTAAAACGCAACTTCTTAAAATATTTAGGACTGTGCCAAACATGATTTTGTTTATCAAAGAATATATTTGAGTATTACTGCACTGAATATCAATATGAGGTTGAACATATACATTTCGATCCTTGTTTTTCATCTTGTTTTGAATAAATACTTACAGAGTTGAAAGACACCAACCCAACCTACATTCTTTTTTCAAAAGGGAATAATCATTACCTGATGCATGTCTTTGGATAATTGACGCAATCCATATTACAGCGAAACCGTTGCCAAGACAACCAGCCCACGGGCGGCGTTCTGGCTAACCCGTTGTCAAGTCCGGAAACTGTACCGATGACGACTAGAATAATCAGTGCGATGACCATATTTGTCGCTGGAAATATCAATTCATGCATGAATATATGCTTGATATAGCTTGTACTTATAGTAATCATGTTTCCTAGCTGGAACACGAGTTACTGTTATGAAACTCTACTTCATCTGAAATGTTTTGTATTTTAAGAGCCATTTAGAGGCAAACATAGGAAAGTTAAGTGTATGACTGACAGCCTATTTTATCGAGTATATAGCAGTGCATGATTTATTCGCCATTTAAAACGAAGCCAATCCATGCATATCCATTTAAATATTTTGAGCAGTCAATCGAGACTAGACCAAATTCAAAATGCCTTGTTTGTCTCTACTAGCACTGAGCTCAAAAAAAAAATATTGCTCCTCAACCCTATATTAAAGTGTCGCAGGGCAATGTGATACCTAGTGTGTAGATGAGTGTCAATGTCTACCTCGTGTTATGCAACACAGGTTCAAACCTTTTTGCTGATAGTCGACAGTATATCAACACAAAGAAACTAAATACAAAAGAATATATACAGAAGACTTCCTCCTAATTATAAAGCGTACAGGTTGTTATGGATCATGTTTCATATATTCCAAAACACGAACACACATACTATATATCTATATCTGCTGATCGTCATGTATAACATTGCTACATTAATACGTTTATTTTACTTCCTCCATATCAGGTACTGTAGCCCTACACATATGTGTATTAATACTTATTATACTGTTATTATAAAACTACAGACTGAATTAACAAACTCCAGTGTAAAATTATCGTACATATTGGCGTGATCGTACATAGTTAAAATGGAAATATATCTTTTTCAAACAACCTACACTGATCTTAAAAGAAATGTTGTATTGACTGTGAACCCGAAAGATCTATATCATATTAAAACTGATATCTATGCATAGACAGACTTGCTGTACACACACACATATATATAAGGACAGCCTGCCCTATGGGTGCCTGTCGTGCATCCCGGTCATATGACCACTCAAAATACTATACCTGTGTGTATGCTTCCGCTAGTCTCAAATCTGTGTCGCTCTGTTTGTAATGCGACTTAAATCATGTTACTCTGATGAACGAAAAGGGCCCAAAAAGGGAGAAAAAGAGATTAAGAAATACTGTTTGAAGTAGTTACAAGACACTAATTGTCAACGTAATAAAAGGTTAAGAACAAAAGACCAAACCTATGTATAATCGAAATGGAAATAAACAAATAAAATTACCCATTGCAAACCCACAAGGCCACATTGACACATTTGCCAGTCGAAAAATTGTAAATTCTAACAGTCGTCTTTATGAAGCCAAAAATCTGTTCATTAAACAAAAAGATAGGCATTTGTGTTTTAAAAGCCAAAATATGCATTTGAATCATCTAAAACATTGATGAATGAGCTAAATACTGAGACAGGTAATTTCCCGAGTATAACATAGATTATACATACATGTAATTTGCATACTGAACATCAAGCAAAATGTAATAATACTCTGACATTGTAAAACTGTAAGCATCATTTAAATCGAACCCTTGGTAGACAGACGTGGTTCATGCGACCAGAACGACCGAATTCTAACGTGATGTTTGTTTGTTAATTCAATAAAACCAAATGAACATTTCTAATATAACACCGTCAATTTAAGTTCATTGACGACATTTTGGTTTCATTACCTCCATGATTTGCTATGATAGTGAAATAGCATCGTGTGTGAAAGGGACGATTTGTTTATAAAATATCAGTTTGAAGTGCGCTCCGGGCGCGGGTCGCATATTTCCCGCATATTATAGAGGGACGGAGTTCTGACGTTAATCGACGACAGACCGATATGAAAAAAGTCGATAAAACGTCAGAATAATTCGGACTAGTTCTGGTGTCTGTGTTCATGTACATTTCATATCATATACACTGTCATATCCAAGGGAGGGCTCAGAATGTTTTCTTAACTTTCTAAACAGAGATCTGCTCTTTAGAGGTTTTACTCACGTTCAAATCTCGTTTTGCTTTACTGAAACAAAATTCTACTACATTTAACAAGCTAAGAATAGTTTATTAGCAAGCATGCATATGAAAAATGTGTCAAAACGAAATACCCATTGTTTGCAGTTTTTAATTGGATCAAGTTGATTTTTGCTATACATGCTTTTAATGTCCAATATTATGAAAATATGACATATAACAGTGGGAAATTGGTGTTTATTGTTCATTTACATCATCTAAAGCCCTTTCGTTTTTGATCCTGCAAAACGTGAAAAATAACGATAAACAATATGGCAAAAAAGCAAAGTGACACCCAGTTTTTGACTGTGTAAGAGGAGAAACAAATTTTCTTTCACTCCAGTGCATATTAAAAAGGTTAGTTATCAGGACTATTAATCAAGTGTTAAATTAGCAAAAATTTAGGAATAAGGATTTAAAAATAAATAAAATGAAAGGTGTGAGGGAGCTTAACTGCTTTATCTGCTATATCTTGAATATCAGGTAAAGAAAGATTTTTTTACCTCAATAGTTCAGATGAAAACACTATACCTAAAGATTGTGCAAACGTTCATAGATTTCTGAAAACATTCTTAAAAGATATAGTATTAATTGTATTCTGCCTACGATCGACAAAATTGAAAAGAAATAATATAGTATTACCTGTCAAAACAGAACCAGTAAAATAAATGATAACAATACAAATAAATAGCTGCTTGTAGATATACAGAATAATAACAATAATATACAAAGCTCATCAAAATTGTAAATAAATTGTAAATGAATACAAATAGTGCAGCTGCACATATTGAGGGAACTGAAAATTGAAGTAAGCGTTTTCATCCGACAATAACCCCAACATGAACAATACATTATCGACAAATACGAAACAAACATTTCAGTCAGTTAAAACTGACAGAATTATCATCAAAATCCGACGTTTGTATAAAATAACTTTACTGTTTCTGAGTTTTTAATAAACAAATCATATGTGGTCCATCAACCCGATTATGAATATTATCACCAATCAGTCAATGGTGTCTAGGGCAGCAAATGTAATTATTCGTTCTGGCAGAGAAGATTTGCTTTATATATACTAAACATTTAATATCAGTTATACAGATTTGAAAAATAACCGGTTTATTCCGATGGCATTCAAACGCTGCAAACATAAAACGAGATTCAATGTTGGCCCCCTTTGTCTGTAGGTACTGACAGGAGATGTAGATCCTTTATCACACATTATACCAAGAGATGGGCTATTCCCAGGAAGACACCAGAAGGTACCACGGTGTATTTAAGGAAGGTATTCGGTTTAATTACTGTCACAAAGTTTCCTGTGAACGCGTCAGTGATGTTATAACCACAAACGTCTTGTAAATCCAACGAAGATCCCTTCACAGAGACCTACAAATAAATAATGATGTTGTTTAAGTAAATGTTGTGATCTCCTTCTCGGTACTAAGTATCACCTAAACTTAGACTTCGTCTCAAGCTGAGCTAAAACGCAGTTTTCCATACGTTACAATAGGTACTTTAACTCATTCACCCCTGAAATTTCATTATGAACTATTCCTACCTTTGAATTAGAAGAGTTCACATGTGTCTGTAGGGGCGAATGAGTTAAGCTCAAACTCAACTTAGGGCCGACTCGAAATTATTTTGACTTTGTGGCCTTTTTATGTATTTTGTTTTGTGTGTTTTTCCCTGATTCATGAAATAATTATTTTAGATTGTTTTTCGATCATAAATTTCGGACCCTTTATTTTGAGAAATCGAGATCAGGAATCCAATACAATAATCCAGAAATCTTCATGTGTTTTGCATGATTTAAGATAAAACAATTTTATCAAAATTGTAATGTATCAACGTTCCATATACTCTATGTCTTACATGTAAAATGGCATGCATAAATGTATTTTCGAATATAATCTTACCAGTGCTCCTGAGCCACCGTTTGCAAAATTCACTAATGCAAACGCAAAATTGCCTTTTGGTGAGATTGGTTTTGACCATACTTGAACAGTTCCCATCTGCAAGAAACACGTAATTGTTTAGTTATAAGAGTAAAATATTCATTTAATGGACAGCTTCTCTGCTAGATTAAAAATTCATGTTATATCCCTGATTTTAATCAGCAGATAATTATCATCAAATAGATATGACATATCAAATACAAGTAGAGTTCATGTTTCAATAGTTACTTCGGGATGTTAACGATAATTCATGCTGTTTCAATTCATGTACTACTCAGACATAAAAATACTTGTGTGTATTTCATTTACAACATTTTAAACTCTCAAAACCTCTGCTAATATGACTAAATTAGACAAAACAGTCAGCTGTTGTAACCTACTGTTGAGATTAATCTCCCCTGAATCCCTAGCGGGTCTTGATTAATGGAGATGACACGCTTGTTCTGAAGTATGGCCTTTGACTCCGGTCGAATATTCCTCAGATCGTTTGACATGAAGAGAGGGGCAGCGAACAAGGCCCACATAGCCATTTGGACCCGTTCCTGTTCGATGCTCAATCCAAAGTTCCCTATGACGAGCTGTGACAGAAAGCAACGATGTTACGACTAAACACGAATTATCAAAGGTTTAGAAACTTGTATTACTGATCTCCCAACATTTTAACAGGATGTGGCACCCGCTTTTATGTACTAGTGCCAAGTTACTTGATTTTAAAAATGAAAAGAACGAAGAAACTGTTAAAACCTTCCAAGACTGGTGTTTGTTTAACGACACGAGTTAGTGCAAAATCCATATATAGGTATGTTAAATATATAGGCATATCTACATTACATGTACCTGGTTATATTTTCGGACCAACCGGCTATCCTGATAACGTTAAAAGAACACTGTATTTTTGACATGTCATTCATAACGTATGCAATGTAACTGATTTCTCAGATCTGAACATCACCACTTAATAAACCTTATAAGGTACACAATATTTAATTTAAACATATGTATTGGTTGTTTCAAAAATGGTGATAGATCTTGGCAACTCCTTTGTACTATGCTAATATCGTGTAGTGATGGAAATAATTTAGGATTAATAACGGTAATTTATTGCAATAATACTTTACAATAGAAATATGTTTTTTAACCCAATGTTCTATTCTTAACCATGAACACTGAAACTAATCTGAACCGTAACGGTCAGATAACTTTAATCAGAAATGCAAATTATCTTAAAAATGGAATCACCGGCAGTGTGAATAATTGACATATCAATCATGATTAAAACTACGACAACCGTTGAGACATCAAAACAACAGAAAATGCGTCATGCACCTGCACAAAAAAATACAATTCGTACCATGTCGGGGTCGTTAAAATTACCAGGTCCGGCGACGCCACTGAAATTGTACTTGTCCTGGCCGTAAAAGTTGATGACTGACGTGACACTATCCCAGGAGTCGTCGATGTCATTAAAGATCCTGAAGATATTACAGTTCTCGGCGACTGCCTTATAGTCCGGCTGCGCATGACAACGTAAAGTTAAATATATATATAAAATCAAAAAGTACCACAACGTCACGACACAAGAAAAAATATATCACAGCGATAACTCACAAAGACAAAATATATCACAGCATCCAGATCTCGTCAAGAATCAAGATTTTACTTGTATATATCACACAGTTTTATCGTATTTTTTCAATACAATGTACATGAAGAGATTTTAGTGAAGGATTTCCAATGTATGACGTTTTAAGTTCCTTTTATGAATATTAAATCTTTTTTTCATGTATGTCCAAACAAAAGAGAATGTAAAATTGTTTTAATCTTCAAAGGGTTAACATATTGTTTTGCTTTACATGTATACATAAAGGGCTGAATGACTGCAATTGTCAACTTACTCTTGTAGGAAACCGTGGACTCAAATATTAAGATTAATACGTAATTGCCTTTGTTGTGAACGAAAAAAATGGACCATCCTTAGTGATTTATTTTATTCTATTATAAATTTATTTACTGCATTCGGACAGGTAGGATTTGTACTTACGTGTTTGAGTTGTAATGGCCACTCACAGGTATACAGAATGGGCCTTCCAGTTAAATTTAGAAATTGCCGCATGATGGGAAAGCCTGTAAAATATTTAATAAACAAATGACCAGAGGAGACAGAACATCATGTAAGACTAATTAGTTATTGTGTTTATACTTTATTTCACAACTGGACATTAAACGACTCGTTCAAATGTGGGAAATGAACAATGGCGGATGTAGTCCCTTTTTTTAAAATTGAAAGACAGTTGCAACGTTTCGAAAGATTATCTCTCTCGTTTAATAGACAACACATTTCTCGTCCCCAAAAACATTTTGCAATAAACAGTATCAATATTTCATTAAGAGACTAACTCTTTACACACATCCCTTCCTTTGGTGGTATCTTAATACAGATTTACTTGTAGTGATTTACATTACAAGTAATCTACCAGCGTTCAGCTAACAGTTGCCGGCTGTGAAGTATTGTTGTTTTTAGTTTATTGAGAGAAGCAATAAACAAATTAGATATAGAAAACCATATCAGCTTGACCGACTTTCAGAGAGAAAATTCAATCTTCTTTCGAGTTGAGTACACTATGACATTAAGGAAACAATGCATTAGTCACATTCACGAAGAAAAGTTCCACTTCCGGGATGGTTTTATTGACTTGATCATTGCTCCATTATCAATCGTAAGATAAAACAACAAATAAGGCGCAGCACTGATAAAACGTCTTAAGTTCTATTCCGTATGCCCTTTTCAACTGTTTTGCATATTTTTGTTTTCAAATACTCAAATTTCGAACAGCAGTAATTCTGTAAAATGTATCGCGAGATGTGATTATTCAAAAACACTTCTGTGGAAAAGGACAAAGAAAACAAAACAAATTGATAAAAACAATGGAAATAGTATATCTTAATAACTTACATCCTCGATATCCAGGGGTTACGCTCACTTTCGCTCTCTACACCCCTGGAATATGTCATAGCAAAATTGAAGGCACGAAGATAGCTGTTTGATTGGTCTCAGATAAAACGAACTGGCCAATCGCTAGGCTGATATTTTCCAAATTTACCGTTACGTGACCACGAGATTCTTTTGAGGTATATTAAAGGATCGAACTAGTCATCTTGTCTCATTAACAAGGTGGTACTCACCGATCCTTTTTCATATGACATATTCCAGGGGTGTAGAGAGCGAAAGTGAGCGAAACGCCTGCATATCGAGGATGAATAACTTAATAATACTCTTTACCTCAATACAGCCAGTACACTTACTTGAAACTAGTCATGCCACCTATTCAAACATTAAACATTTAAATTCAAGACAGTTAATCAAGTTTGCTATATTTCATTCTTTTTGGCACCACATATGGCTCTGGTCACTATATGTAACTTACCAACAGGTACGTCGGATCTGGCAGAGTTACATCCATCAAACTTGAGGCTGTCGACACCCCAAGAGGCGAAGGTCTGCGCATCTAGCTGCATATAAAACTCACTCCCAGGATATCCGGCACATGTTTTTGTCCCAAAGTCCTCGTAAATTCCAAGCTTCAGTGATTTATTATGCATCTAAATAACGATAAGATTGAGTTATTTTCTCTTTGTTTGTAGTCAGTAGTATGTACATATAATATGCCTTATAATACACTATTTAATTTGTACATATGATATACCCTATTATACAATATATAAAGACACCCCTTGCAATGCTATGAAGAAGAACAACATCATATGCAATTAAATCAGTTGCTGCCCTTTATGCTTTGTATCTGGTCCCACTGAATCATGAACATTTCTGACATAGAGATTTCTTTTTAAAATTCGTTCTAATATATGAAACCATTCTATTTGTATGTACGAAACACAACGTAATGATACTCCAAACACGTAATGATGTGAACAAACTTAATAAACTGTAGCTATATATGACAGGTTATTAATATCGCGTATATCTGACGTGAAAGATGTGTATTATTTTCTTTAATATGACCAGGTGTTTTACACTTCTTTTCAACTTCGCCCGTCATAGCCTTACATAGTCGGCGAGAGCCTTTATTCCACTTGGAAATCTTTTCGGGTCGGCCTGGAGACGACCCTGTGCATCACGTGTCTTTGCTAACCAACAGTCATCAATGTTGACGTACTGATATCCTAGGGCGGCGTAACCCTCGGCAACCAGTCGATCAGCCATGTCCCTGTACAGCTGCTCACTGACAAATGATACACCCTCGTTTAATATCACGCTCAATCAGTTTGTCATGTTAGTACCGTATACGACTCTAATATTTCCGTATGTAATTATCATGATTTTTGCAGGATTTTTAGTCGTTATTCTAACTTGAACCATCATTATTTTAACTTTGAACAAATTTGCATCACCCATTAAATAAACCTTTCGGGTATTTTCATTGCCTGGTATATCTACACAAAACCTGTTTTCCCGAAGACGTCTAAACTGATTAAATACAGTATTACGAAAGCATGTGTTTGTGCGAATTGCATTTCCTTTGTGTCCTCAAAATGCTTTCAGAATTAATTTTAAAGAAGGATTTTTATTACTTAAAAATATAGGACGCATTTGTCTTGGCTCCAAATAAGATAACTTGACGTTGTAGATATGTTAACTAAGTGAAAGTTTGCTAAGCTATGTGGTTAAATTTCCACTTTTCTTTCTAAGACATTGTTTAATGAGACAAAAAAATTAAATACTTGTTTTAACCATAAATCATTCAGAGAGGAACTTCGTGAAAAGTAATTGTAAATAAGTAAGTGTCAAATGAATAGCCCTATAGTACAATAGCTATCATGTATAGTCTACACCATTATATAGTATATACAATGTGCATAATGTTTCTATCAAACGCATTCATTTGATTGCAAATGATATCCATAGAAAAACGGAAAACAAATATTTAAATATCTTAACAAAATGGTTTGAAGATTTAATCTTCCGACATAAGTATCCTTTTTCAAAATTACGTGACCAACAGGAAAACTATATGACCGGAACGAAAAGTATCTGTTTTTACAGCTATTGTATCGGACATGTAGATACCGGATAATGCTACATCAACAACTACCGTCTACATTTAGATATTTAAATTCCTCATCTAATTATAGGACATATACCTTATGCAGTTTTTCGGATCGTTCTCACAATCCGTATTGCATCGAAACCGTTGCCATGACAACCAACCCATTGGAGGTGTTCTGGCCAGACCGTTGTCAAGTCCACACGCAATTCCCATGGCCACAATAAGTACCAGTATGGTGATCATATCTGTAGCTAGAAAACACAAAACACACTGATTAAATAGTTCAGTAGAGATAAATTTAATTATAAGAGCCTGGAAAATATTCCATTAGCTTCATTTAAAAAAAAAAAAAAAAAAACTATTTTAGAACACTTGATTTTCAGCCACTCATAAAAACTACACACTGTATACAAACACGGCCATAACAATCTAATTCCGTGATATAACTTACCCGTTTTCTGTTTCATGTCTAAATTATACTGAATAAAACAAACACGTTTTATGTGACACGCAATACCGAGGGACGTAAACTCTCATGCATTACAAACCATGATATTTATATATACTATTGCTATCCAGAACTCAGGTGTATTTACTTGTGTACTTTTCAACTGAAAAGCAAGGTTACACACGGTTTACGGCAAGCAAAGTATCACATGGTGTCATGGAGCATGACCGAACGATATATCAAGCCTGTTTACATAAAATAACATAATATTCTGCAGACTGAGTGATTGAGTGATGTGCGTAAGGTAGACAGTTTTGTATTTAAGATTTATATGATGTTTTCAATTATTTTAACTGCAATGTTATGCTAATATAAATATCCGATTTCACGTCAGTTATAATAGTCGCACCGGACACTTTAGCCCAAGATGTTTTATAACATCCCTCGATATCACCGTTATCTAGCTGAAAATCACACGGTTGGCCTAACCTGTTTATATAGGAGCTCACACAACACACATATCAAAGTGATGTCCCTCTAAACGATGTAGTATCTACCTACTCATCTGTGTGTTTACTTCCACCCGTGACCCAAATCCCGGTCTTCGCAGTCGGTAGTCATGTGACTATATTCGTAAGTCATGTGATTTAAGTCACGTGACAATATTTGTACGAAAGAGGCCACAGAGGGGACACACGTTACTCGATCTATCATTAATGTTTGGTCGATACTAAACCAATATATGAGTATTTAAGGCATCATCGTGGTAATTCTATTTTCCATTAGGAAACATAAGAAATGAAATATTAACTTGAATTTGTTTTAACCAAACAAAATATGAATTTTGCACTACTCATAATGACAAAAATAATTTTCAATATTTTTTAAATTTCAAAATCAAAAGTTTACTACATGAATTTATATAGATATACATCAAAACACATTTTCTTATCTGGTATATTAACTACCATATGTTGCTTTAATAATACAATATAAACTAGTGTAACATAAGCTAAATATTAATATCAAACTTATCAACCTCATCCGCTTGAGTGGATATTTCTCATGGTAAGTGAGAACCATAATTAACATCAACCTAACTTTGTTATCATAAAGAAAGGTAGCATAGTATTGTGTCTGATTTGCACAGACGATCATAAAATGTTTACTGAACCTCTATATATCAACATGTTTGTTGACCTAAGCATAATATGTTTTTGTAGATATATAGATAATAAGAAGGGATATGTAAAAAAATGCATAGCATCTAACGAAATTATTATCATATAACCCCGAAAATTGAAAATAAATAAATTTACTGACAAAGTTTCTGGTTGAAAGTAAAACATTACTGTTTTTTACACAATCAGGCGAATATCGGTCGGTATGTTCATCCAAGGTTATCTATAAGTTTCGGACAGTCAAATGTTATATACCTTACTACATTTGTATAGTGATACACAAGTTTGCAGGCAATGCGACACAAAGCTCTGTACCTAACAAAGGGATACCAGGTAGTATAGGACGTTGCATTACCATAGTAACCAGAACTCTTTTTGGCGGAAGCTCATTTGTTGTTATGTATACTAACTATTTATATTGACGAATTGAAACAGTAACGGTTTCCGATCATGTTAATGTCATTTTATGCCAATGCTATTACCCTGACCTCGATGTTGTTTTGTTTACCATTTTTGTTCAGTTCAAGTATTTTGAAGGACAATTGAACATTATACGGGATTAAATAAGTAAAATTTTGCGGAACATATAATACACATGATAGGAACAATTGTTGGTATGTAATGAAATCAGCACCACATGTTTGGGTCTATCTGTCTTCTCAGATTGCACTCGTTTATTACCTGATTGAACGCATATGTGTGGTTTATGACATACCTGACCAATCTTACTAGGATGAAACATCCTGTTTCTAGACCATGCAATGCAATGTTCCCTTATATATATTTAAGAACCAGGTATTGAAGGTATGTAATACCATACAGATGGATTCGTCTGTCGGCTGTATATCCATAAGTACAATACACTTGTGCGATTTGCGACCTCAGATGAACACCTACACTGTAGTTATGGTACTATATATACCTGTTTGGATTATGAAGGAAATTAACTAACCGTCGTCATATCAACACGAAGAACAAACAACTCTCGATTCACTATACAAATTAGACATATCTCATTTACAAGTGTATAAGGATCATAAATGATAACGTTTGGGTAATACTACCTCATAAAGCGTGTAAACACAATTGTTCATTTGGACGATATTACTATCTACATGTACCCACGAAATATCATTTAATTCTTATCTAAATATTAAGATATGCATATCATATCAATATTAATTACTAATTACTTCGTAAAAGTATTTTACCTGCTATCTGTTTTGGGGACGTTGAGCCAAAAATAACTGGTATCAAACGTACGGTAGTGTCTAGTGTATTGGTTCGTATTTTACCGCTAAATAGGTCACGTGATGTAAACAAAATATTGCACAATCACTTGTCAATAACAAACTGTTGGGTTGTACATAACCTGGTTTAACGTTTACATTTACAGGTAACAACCCTACCAGACCTGACAAAGAACACAAGTAAGTACGTTGTCAACTAATATCCATAAAACTGTATTTTGTTTCTATACACTGTGGAATATAATAATGTGAACCAAATAAGGCTATGAATATACACGTCATATTTAATGTATATAGGTACATTATACACACACGTACATACACACACCGTTTTCATACAGGTTTTGATTTATAAAGGGTTCGTTGAACAAACTCTTGGGTGAAATTATCTAATATCATCACAAGAATGATCAAGGTTAGGAAAGATTTCGTGTTTCATACAACCATTACTTCCGACGTGTATTCATGTATGCTTCTCATTACAAATGAATGTAAACAATATACTTATATATGTATATACATATCTTTTATGTACAATGCATAGTTGTTGTTTCTCTCCGTTTTATATGTTGTGCTATGTAATTGTACATGTTTGTTTATTGGTAAAGGACCGAAATACCCGCAATCATTACTATTGATTTGTTATATCTGTGTACCTTGGTTCACAATATAAGGGTTGTTCATATAATTTGGCTCCCAGCCAGCTGAAGGAATTTGCTTGATCAGCATAACAATTCAGTAGTAACTATTTCTGTTATTAATATTAAGTTTACATATATCTTGCGTTTTGATAATTATCGGATAATTATTTTTAATTGATAGACATTCAGTACACGTATATATTGATGACAGGGTAGGTACTGCTATTATACATCTATATAACCACCACATTCCCTGTAAAATACAAGGTACCGCTAGAACGTACTAATGGCAGCTTACCGAAAATATCTTTATTGAGCTTATTGAAAATGCTGATTTGTTGTAAAATATTATGTTTACTATGATTCTATTTTAGGAGGTTTTGTTCCTGACCTGCATGTCCTGACCAATATTTGAAATCGAAAGTAGAAAGAACAATGGTACAAAAGAAAAGTAAATATGGCTACAATAGAGGAAGCACATTTTGCCATCTATGTCGCTATAAAAGTGTCAACGAAACCGGGAAGATTTACAAATTTATGTTTAGTAACGGACATGATGAAGAAAATCAAACAGAGGTCAACGAAACTCTTGAACAGCATTTGCCGGATGGTGGAATGCAGCACAACACGAATTTTGAATTAGTGCGCGAGACGTATTCTCTCAACAAGCGTAAGAGATGGACGTTACCCAGTGCAATTACCGATGTAATTGACAGTGGGGAGTTGGACGATTCATCTTTCAGGGTGGTGATGCACGAACGATCAAGTGTTCCGTTTCGATTTGCATGGTATACTCGTGATAGTGAAATCAAGGCGAGTACCTTGTCTTACCATGATAGCAAGTACACAGTACACCATATGTACCCCAACCCTAAAAGCCGGGTGTCGTCACTGACCGACCTCAAACTGAACTGTCATCTAAAACATAACGACGGAAAGCCTAATGATAGGGCCAGCGACACTATCAAACCATCCCGGAAATGTCATAGCAGAGGAATACAGAGAATGCGAACACCTGGTCCTGACAATGACAATATTCAATATTGGAGGCGAAGCGAATATTACTTCAAAGAGTAATTATTTAAAGTTCAAATATTGATAAGTGTCTATTTTAATATTACGTTACGTTTGTGAAGATACGTTTATTAAATAGTGTTCATATACTTTTACCATCTTGAGATAACAACTATTGTAATAAAAATACAATAGCTTGGAAGACTGTATGATGACATTAAGACACAGAAGTTTTTATTAACTAATGAAAAAAATGTTTCTGATTTTTTTTGATTTTTTATTAATGGACTGTCAGAAGACAAAACAATTTCTACGATTTTGTAATATATTCTTCCAAGTGTAACAAAACCGTAATTCTAACTTAACTCGATAAAACTAGGGCAATATATAAACAAGATAAATATTAACATCAGTACATTGACAAAAATTCAAAGAAGAATGAAACCAGGTGTCCTGGAAGAGTAATATCTTCTACGTAATCGGCAATACTCGCCATGTAAATATAGGTCAAATTTAAGTAATGTCACGTCCTCATATTGACAAAAAAATATACCCTAAAAAAACAACGAGGCTCAATAATGATCGTAATAAAAAAAATCGACTTTCATATCACACAAAGAAACAACATACTTCGCGATGAGATCATGATGGTTGTTCTAAAACGTTTCCTATATTCTCAATATTAACCTGCATCTTTTGAAACGCTTTTATCCATGTCGAAACGAGATAAATTATCAGCTTAATCAATAACAGTATGCATCATTGGAATACCGTGTTGCAATGCATAACATTTTATTATGTTTAAGCGTCATGCAGGGAGATTACCACCAAATCAAAGAACCAGAGGTTCGCTATGAGATCCACTACCCTGATGTCTTTAATAGGTACTGTCAGTGTCAAAGGTACCATGGTAAGTACCTAAATAATATTGATTAATACATGTATTTATCTATAATTCTATGCAATTACACAATTTTTATTTTTATTAGAGGAAACAAGTGCAGAACAAATCGAAACAGTTAAGTAATAACTATATAATGATAATAATTTATATTCCATTAATATAATGTCAATGCCAGACATTCACCCATGAAGCATTTAAAAGTCCCGCATATCTGAAAAACGATAATTTTATCATAGAAAAATGTAACTTAAAGCAATTGTTGTGGTGGAGGAATACTTCCTTTGTATCAATCTATTCTTCTCTTTCGTACTCGAACTAAACGGTTGGAGTTCGATTCCCCGATCGAACGTGAAAAAAATATCGAGTCACTTGTCCGATCACGTATATTTTTTCACCGGGTACTCCGGGTCCCTCTCATACAAAGACCCATGAGCACTTGAAAAAGATTTGTTACACGATTATTGTTATTTAGTTTATTTTGTTACGAGTATGAGTTCTCGGTGTGAGGAGGTAATATTACTTGGATTCTACTTAGATTTACATGGCGGATGTCATCGAGGAAACAGAAGACTCTTACCCTTCTGGAACACTTGGTCTTATCCTCCTTGTACTTTTTCAGGAGACTCTATCTATACTTATGGTTTCTCTTGTTGTTTTCACTATACATACGAGATACGCATGACAGTTAGTTTTGTTGTTTCAGGTCACAGTATGTATTATCCGCACAGTACGGAGAAACCGTTTAGAAGATGGAAAACCAAAGGATGCAGAGCAAAACCATCAATGCAAGAGCACTTTAAAGGGATTGATCACTTAGAGAAGCGAATTTTAACATCTGATTATATCAAAGAAATGGATGAGGACATTGATGTTTGGATCAGGAGTGAAATAAACGATGAGATGTTGGAGGACGAAGGGGACTTCCTTGTTGAACGGCCAACACTCACTGTAGCAGATTTTTGTGTTAGGCTGACTAGGCCTTCTGCAAAACGAAACTGGATGTTTAGATCTGGCAACATCGAAAAGAAAACAAATTTCTACAATAGAAAACAATCTTACACTGTGAATGGCACTCCGATAGGGCAATGTTATGGAAAGGGCAATATCGTATATGATGATAACCCAGATAACTTTCGCAGAGAGGAGGACGAAGTACAGCACACTAGTATGTCATCAGTGGATGACGTCAAAGATGACGTTGATAGAAATGACGTCACTGGAATCGACACGGTAACTTTATCTAAGAGCGACATTGATTTCGAACGCCAGTTTTGTAGCTGTGTCATTGACAAGGAAAGTGTTCAGGACACGATAGATACCCACACTGACTGTGACGTTTTAGTGAGCAACTGTGTTCCTCAGCAGCTTTGTATGACCATCCAAGGGGAAACGGTCATTGCTTGTGTGATACTGTGGCAGCGGTCTGGATGGTCATCATGTTCAGAACAAGCAGAATACTGGTAAGGTGTTCATAGGAGCCATGTAATTAGAACCGATGTACTGTCAGTCACCTAAATGTTGAGAATAAAAACTGATGTATATATAACGATATATAATTCACCGATACATCAGAATTAGTGATTGAACATGCTTGCGAATAAACACAAAAAGCACAAAAATGAACACAAGGAATTACAAAGACATCAATACATCGATTATTAAACGATAATCCGTAAATGCCGCTTCTCTATTTGCTATATTGTTAATATAATAATTTTGTTGGATCGTTTGGCATGATTTAAGTGAGTACAGTGTGACAAGAAAGCCGGTTTGAGCAAAGAATCCATGTTTGAGCATGAGAACGGTTTCATGAATACAGGCCAAGGAAATAGGTAGTAGTAGTTTCCTGTACTGGCTTTTGTTTTTTATTCAAGGACAAAGGTACAGTTTGAGTCTAATGGGACTGTTGCTGAAATGACCTGCGATGATCTAAAGTCAAAACTTGACGAGGAAGAAGACGCCATATTTTCACTTCACCAGATAGCAGCAATTGTGAAACAGGAAGCAGCAAATAGGTCTTTGGTCACCGACAGGTACGAGGGTCCTCTTTTTCAAATGCTATGGCAAAGTGATATATGAGTGCAATTTGTATTCGTGGACGATGTACCGTTGTATAAGACCATTTAAAGCTAGACGTCATGTATTTCATAAATGTGTATATTTATAATATTACAGCCACAGATACAGAGAAAATGTCCTACCAAACGGTCATCTGACCACTGCCATTGCTGACCCCTCTTTTGATGTTAAGACTGTACATGAAGCATACGAAACCCTGCTTACAGAAGAGGTCAGTTTTCATAAGTTAAATGAATTAATTGATCCTAAGTAGTTTTCTTAATGTGCTTCATTTGTATACAGATACTTGATTTCGCATGATATTATTTTCCTGGTTTTACGAACAAAAAACTAGACTTGCAGTTTCAAGCTTCATCACTACATTTCGTTTCTTGACTAGATAATTTCGAATCATATAAATTTGAATAAATTCTTTTGTTACGCAAAACTTAAGAAAACGACACCGAAGCAAACACTATTAGGAGTACAGTATACTCGTTTAAACTTATTTTTTTCACCGCATGACAATAACTTTATTTTTGTATCCAAGGACGACGTCCTGCAATCCTTTGAACTGGTCAACATGATCCCTACGTCATCAGATATAGGGACATGTGGAACGTGTTTCTGCGAGTCTGACGACCCTCCAGCGGACGGTTGCATGCTGTTACCATGTCAACATTACTTTTGCATCGACTGCTGGAGACAACACATCACCATCAGGATTAAAGAGGGAGCAAATGACATTCCTTGTCAGGTAACTAAGTAATTAATGGCATTTTATTATGACGATCCTCTTAGCATTTTACAAAGAAGTACACGATTACTGTGATGGTGGATTCGAGATTTATTTACATGTATATATATTTGTATATCGCTTCACTACAATGATAACACGTTCAGCATATACGTAGCATAATATAGTGCCTATGCACTATTGTGAGAAGTATTATTTACTTACTATAGGTATATATATATATATATATATAGTTTAATACATCTCATTTGAAATATTTTTAATGTGGGCTGATTTTTTCTTTTTACCCAAAAGGCATTCAAATGTAAAGAATTCATTGTTGATGTAATGGTCCGTACTCTTGTGTCATGTGACCTGGCCAACCAATGGATAAAGAGAAAAAAGGAGCGAATTTTGGAGAGTCAGTCCTGGCATTGGTGTCCAACAACATCATGTGATAAAGTAGCCACGGTGACAACTGCTAGTAAGTTCTATTATAATACTCAATCCATTGATTTAATTTGGACACAAGTCCGCTAAGTTACATTTAATCTGTGCGTAGTAGTATATGAATAGAACAAGACTACCGTTAGAAAGTTTTCTTCACAAATCACTTTTTTTCCCCAAAAAGAATGTTCGTAGATAATTTTTAACAGATTTTGGAATGCTAACTTGTTCATGGCTTTTTCATTTTACTTGTAATACGAAAGCAGACTTTTGTATATTTTGTTTTTGTCAAAGACCATATATTGTGTTTTGCAATTTATCAAACATAAATACCAAGATTACTAGAATTAATGATAAAATACTTGTTTCCGTAGGTAGCAGGTTCTCCGGTGACAACATTCCAGTCCTCTGTGGCTGTGACAGAGTCTGGTGTTTCTCCTGTCAGTCTGACGTACACTGGCCAGCAACATGTGACCAGTACCTCAACTACCGGAAGACGCTTTCTCAATATGGTACGTGCTTTAAATCAGCGATATATTTAATTTAACGTCACGTGCACTTAACAAGAAGGATAAATCTAAAAATCGTAAATCCTGTAAATATATTTTTAGACGCTTTTACAAAAATGATGTTTCTGTGACTGTTCCGTTATGATGTTACCTCCTTGTACATTAATTAGTCCCGATGCTTCTCCATGTGAATAGGTGTTGAGATTACCTCCCCTTAATTAAGTCCTGGTGTGATATCCCTGTTCAAAAACCGTGATACAACCTCTTTGTAAATAAGTCGTCATATTACCTGCAATATTTTGGATTCCTCCTTCAAATCTTCCAGCTGAACCACGTTTTTATTACGTCGACGTGAAAAAGTGTCCAAAATGCAAGCATCCCATAGAGAAAAATGGCGGCTGTCCTCAAATGACTTGTAGATGTTCTCATATGTTTTGCTGGGAATGTCTGCGCGATAGGTCAAGCCACGTGGATGGAGTGGAGTGTCGAGAAAAAGCCACCAGCTTGATTGTAAGTTAATTAATTATCCTGATGGAGTATATAATAATACAGTGTAGATATAATGGGCAATAACGGCAGTATGATCCGAATACATGGACTATTCATTGGGTTCGTATTATATTTTAAACAAGAGAAACACTAGTATCATCGACAGTACGAATAGTATCTGTTTGTCAGATTTGTCAAGACGCGCAAGCATAAAATTAATAATTAATTAAATAACACAAGAATAGAAGACAAAGAATAATAAAACATTGTTACTGCTGACTCATACATAAGTTCAAACATATCCCTTTCGACCGGCTTGTAGCTAAAGAATGTGTAAATGACGGAATTCACCCGTGGATAGGAAAGTATACCGCAGGTTGTATCAAAACTTGCCAGCACAATTTCGACACTCGACACGAAACGAACATGACCGCCAAAAAGTAAAATATTGGTTTAATTATGTTTTATTGTTTTTGTCAATTTTCAGACCATGACGCTGGATGAATACTCCACAATGCATACGCGATTGTATAGGAAATGTATAGAACATCGCTACAAATGGAAAAAGACATTCTCAAACGGTGCCATTGAACAACGAGTGAACGTCTTCAGAAGTTCAGCAGCATACAAGGTACAAATGCATACTCTTCTCATGGAACTTTTTTATTATCAATTATCAAAAAAGCACGAAAAATATCTTTTGGTATTCTATGAAAAAATCAAATTGCACCTTATCAAAAACAAAGATCGCTATATGTAGTAATCGATGTAAATCCGTGTCTTTTAAAAAAACAACAGCGGGGGACTTTATTACAATTTCCGTATTCCTTTGGAAAGCGTGCTTTCAACGAGTTAGATCCTTTACTTCAAGATGATGACGCCTGGGCCCGTATTCATGAAACTGTTCTCATGCTCGAGCATGGATTGTGTACTCGACCCTTATTCCTTCTACTGGTTATCAATGATTAAAAAACAAAATGTTGTCAATGATTGGGGAAATAATTGAAGAGACGAATACTGTTTTCAGTGTTTACAATTTTGTTGGATTGTTTGACATGATTTAAGTGAGTACAGCGTAACAAGAAAGCCGGTTAGAGCAAAGAATCCATGTTTGAGCATGAGAACGGTTTCATGAATACGGGCCAAGAAAACAGGTAGTAGCAGAAAACCTGAATACTGATATACAAGTCGTCCCCTTATTGTCCTTCTTTTCTTTCCTTTCATCCTCAGCAACAAAGTTTACGTGTATTTTCATAAAATAGATTTGTTCTTGATAAATATAACCCATGACTTACTCAGGACCTAATATTATGATCAGAACCTGTAAATCCAATGTATTTCCGATTCAGATGAAGAATTCTAAGACAAAACAAGTCGCATTTATTTCGGAGGAATTAACAGACCAATCAATGAATGCGGAACTCCGATCTAGTCTCGTCTTCGTCAAGGAGGTTCACTTGGTGTTGGAGAACGTGTTTGTGATGTTGTCATATACACCAAGACGTTTGCGCCGCAATCGGGCTCTTCTAGATCATATTGAGTTCTGTATCCTTCGAATGGAACACGTATGTAACTTCGATTTTATGATACATATTTACGGAAGACTTGAGTTGAGAAAAAGAAACATAGTCATCCTTACTTACAGTTTCTTTAAACTGGTTGAATGTTTGTTCCATGTGTTGTATTTCATTTGTTTATATGAAATGTTCGCTATCAGATGGTGATGTTTCCCTCATATTGCCTTCGTTTTATTCCTCTTTAAAATACAAAAATAGATCTAGAACAATTGACATAAAAAAACATGTTTTACATCAACAATACTTATTATACTTCTTAATGTGTAACCAAGTCCAAAGTTGTTCTGATGCATTAAACAATAATAGCATTGTTATAAATATGAATCTATTTTCTAAACATTGAAAATACAAAATATTATCCTGTGTTGAACAGGAAATCGATTGCAAACATTTCTGAAATATTTGCGTCCAAAACAATATTCATATTAGCATTTCAAATTGTATTATTAAAATTTATATACAGATACTTAACAAGTCACGGCTGTGTCGGGACGATCTGAGAAGGGTTTCCAGGCTGCGTACATCTATAGAAGGCAGCCTCCGGGTACTTCCCTACCTCACAACCTTTATCCAGCGTGAAATAAGGGCCGCCAAACAACGAGGGGATAGGCTGCCAGCCAGTTGTGCTAGCTCGACGTAAATATACCACCGTCGTGTGGAGTACATAGATGCTCAAATTGGTGTAAAATAAGAAGGACTACTTTGTGAGTTCCAGGGCTAATAAGACATTGTTTGCAATTTCTTTCTTCATGAGATTAAGTCTTGGAAGTTAAATATTTTCACGCTTGACATAAACATTTAAAGTGATTGCACACCCACTACCTTTTGTAATACATCGAGTAATTGTTGCTTTCATGACTGGTTGATGACGTTTTGATATAAACAGGTGCCAATCCCTGGTACTGTATGCTATTAACATCATGAGGCGAAATTTGAATGTTTGAAAATTGTTTGAGATTGATACGAACATCGTTGTCATCATTATCCGTGAGGAGTTATACTTTTATTCGTAATATATTGTTTTATATCATTTCGGTATAGTAAGTTAAATACATGTTACGTAAATGTTATTAAAAACGATTACGTACAATTTAGTTTTTCTGAAATTGGGCTATTACTTACAACGGATTTTTTATTTTAAATACAAATTACAATCTCAATCATGGTTATTTCAAATCCACGTAACGGAATTGCTGAAAACAGTGCTGTGTCATAATATAATAAATCAATCTTAGAAAAAGTATTTAATTGATTATTTTAATCTAAATTTATGAAGACACATCTTTTATAAATATATTCATTTATTTGACAGATTTTTTTTTATATCTTAAACATTTTTTTTGTGTGAAAACTTATATAAATCGTTGTTATTCTTGATATGTATTCATCTTATCCCTGATTCCATTTGTAAGAGAACTCCTGAGTGTCCATCATCCCCGCGTCGTGACTAAAGTTCTGAACAGAAATATTACTACCGAAACATTATATCAAGATGTCAACCAAGAACCAATTCCTATGTTATTCTCTAAAATTTCATATACAAATATAATATTGTTTACACAAGTGAATCTAGAGTTTGCTTGGAGAATTTTTAACTTTACATCAAACATAAAGGTGGAATGTAATAAAAGATATCAAGGAATTGATATATCACATTTAGTTACTGGTATGGTGAATGTAAAAAATTAGTGTATACATACGAACATCAGCCTGGGGACGGTCTTTTAAATTAGGATCGAGTCAGAGCTATTTATGTTGTAGTCTTTGAGAATCCTTACATATTATATAACTTTAATGGATATTCAACTCGATAAAGTGTGTTGCTTTACTGTCATGAATATTAACTTGTAGAAATAATTAACTATTTTTAACACATCCACAATGCGTTCTCCGTCCCACTTTGATTTCAATCCAGCCTAGTTCTTTAAGGTTAGCCTTTGTGATTATTATGTTTAATTTACTGAAGGACTGTGATGACTGCTTTGTAATGTGATAGGTGGACTTTAAAAGTGAAAAAACTCTTGGATATTGTTTAATAAAGAACTTGGCATTTTGCCAAAATAATACCGTGTGTCATTTAATTCTAATGTATATCTAGCTTACATTATGTATTTCTAAATTCTTCATTGCTTATCGAAGCACGTTTAATAGAATGCATTGTCGGAGAAGGCATTATCAATTGTGCTATTTTTGTTTTGCACGATAAGTAATACTTTATTTTTGTACATAATATATAGTACTAGAAGTTCGATATAATCCTGCTCTTATTTCATTTCATTAAACTACGTATGGAAAACCTCCGAACCACGTGATCTAAATTATAGATAGTTTCCCGTCTTTAGTGGACAATAATTGATTTTTTTAAAATTTATTTTAACATTTTAAAACTTACTGGGTTTGATAGGTGACCCGATTCACGTCCAGTCGGGGAAACAAACACTACATGTAACTGTCTTGGGGAAAAGTGAGTGCCCTCATCACTACGACAACCGACCATAAAAAGGTTTCATCATTAAAAAAAAACCACACTCACAAAAAAACCCCCAAAAAACCCCAATTTGATCATTTTTTTAAATATCTTTTGAACATTGTAAGTTCTCTTATTTTTCTCATGTGACGTTTAAACTTTGTTGAACGAGTTGTCGGGGATATTTTCTATATGCAGGTTTCTGTCTTTGGACGGGTAATCGTGTGTATAAGCACGGATTGTTCTCGGAAACACTATCAAGTACATGTTTGTGTTATTTAGTGTTAGGTCAAGACTTACACATGATCTTTGCCATCATATCAACCCCACTTACCAATTCACATATCAACCCCACTTACCAATTCACATATCAACCCCACTTACCAATTCACATATCAACCCCACTTACCAATTCACATATCAACCCCACTTACCAATTCACATATCAACCCCACTTACCAATTCACATATCAACCCCACTTACCAATTCACATATCAACCCCACTTACCAATTCACATATCAACCCCACTTACCAATTCACATATCAACCCCACTTACCAATTCACATATCAACCCCACTTACCAATTCACATATCAACCCCACTTACCAATTCACATATCAACCCCACTTACCAATTCACATATCAACCCCACTTACCAATTCACATATCAACCCCACTTACCAATTCACATATCAACCCCACTTACCAATTCACATATCAACCCCACTTACCAATTCACATATCAACCCCACTTACCAATTCACATATCAACCCCACTTACCAATTCACATATCAACCCCACTTACCAATTCACATATCAACCCCACTTACCAATTCACATATCAACCCCACTTACCAATTCACATATCAACCCCACTTACCAATTCACATATCAACCCCACTTACCAATTCACATATCAACCCCACTTACCAATTCACATATCAACCCCACTTACCAATTCACATATCAACCCCACTTACCAATTCACATATCAACCCCACTTACCAATTCACATATTTTACTATTTATACGATCATATATACAACACCTGTACTTAACTGATATATACGTTTGGGCAGAGACCGTATATAACACAAACCTCTGGCTTTATACGGCTCTGTTTGGGTGAATTATGATCGCGCTATTTGCTTTGGTCCGTACATCTCAAAATGGCGATGGGCTACGCCGCTCGCTTCATATTTAGAATTGACATCCCTCGTTTTGTTTTATATCTCAACAACAGATCTATCGTTATATCATACATTACATAAATCACAACGAGTACTTGATATCTAGCTTTCACAAGAATAACAGCGACATCACCTGGTATGTGAGTAGACTACTTACGGGTTACCTCCTATTGAACGATATGCACATATTTATGTTTTGTTTGTGTGCGTGTGTCTATGTCGGTGTGTGTATGTCCTATGTTGTATTGTAAGTCATCAAAAGTGAGTCACCTCCCTTTAATTAATTTATCGTTTACATTTATGTATTTTCATTTCAAAATATCTATAAAATATGTTTAGCTAAAGTTCTATAATATTCTTGTAACACTCTAGCCACCTATGGAGATAATTTATATAGGCTTGCCTGTTATTCGATCCATTTGACCATGACACCATGTCAATAAAATCTATTGAAATGAAATGAAACGATATGCACAAAGCTAAATCATGCAATGCCACCTTCCTTTTTGTTGTGATTATTTGATTATTTTATCACGTTGGTGTTTTAGACTTATAAAAACATGCACAAAAACTCTACCTTTCGATTTATAAATATTTCCCCATAACACTGATAATGTTGTCACACTATGTCCCTTTAAACACTGATAATGTGGTCACACTATGTCCCTTTAAACAGAGGTAAAGAAGTTTTAGTGTGTGATATCAGAGACGTATAATACATTATATGTATTATACGTCTCTGGTGATATTTAAACATTCCGTTGGTTTTTGTGTCCTTTATCAAATAACGAGTAGCCGTGTTTTCATTGGTTTGGTACTTGTTGCTGGTGGCCTCATTAGGCGACACGTGACGGGCATTGTGATATTTGGTATATTTATTAAGATTTTCTGTGGGAAATAATAGAATTAGGGTGGAACTTTAATAAAGGAATTGCCGTGTGATGGTCTTGAAAGTAAAACCTCGACTCATCTCTTAGGATTGGGGGCCAAAATTTCACTCAGATGTGCTAGAACCAAATCCTTTTCATAGAAGGAAAGGTCCAATGGTGCTTTATCCAATGTGTAAATAGCTTTACCCAAGAAACATGTATTGCCTGTTACGGAGGGGATCACATTTTATATATGTTTATAAGGGAAATAACTCTGTTGGTCATATCTATTTTCAGTAGTTAATCATTTAAACTTGATCGTTTTTAAGATACAATTCCTACCACAACAAAAACCATCAGCAGGCATTGGGCATGTTGTGATTTCAAAATAATCCACTCTTTAATACTGATAATTTTTAGTTTGGGGATGACATATATATATATATGTTTTGTCTGTTTTCTGACAATTACCAGTTATGTACAAAGAAGTAATAACGACAGAGAAGACAAACGTACTTGTTTAATTTTCAGGTCAATCCACCCTTTTTTTCAAGATAGAAACATTAACACTTACATATCACAATAGATACAATACGGAACAATAATACAACATTAACACTTATATATCACAATAGATACAATACGGAACAATAATACAACATTAAACACATACAAACAACAGTGATCACTGCGATTGCAGCAGCACATTTCAAAAGTGATTACTGTTTTTTGTTTATGTATAATTGATGTTGTACTATTGTTCCATAGTGACTGTTTATCTCTGTTATACATGTTTGCTGTTATATGTAAGTGTTCATGATTCTGTCTTCGGATGATCGCCCTGGACATTTGACAAATTCCTTTGTCTGAACTGTCGGTAATACTTCTTTTCCCGTATATCTATTTACGTAATACAAATCCAACCAACATTTGTTTGTTCGGATCCAGTGTCCATATTGAATCACACAGTCGTTATTACTTAAAAGACCTTTATAAATTAAAATTAAATAAACAACATTTGATATACCGCCACATCAAGCTAGAATCAGCCACTCTAATGCGCTTTACAATACATAGATATGAAATCAATACAACTCACATGTAATTAAATAAGAAATTAATCAATACATTTTTTAAGGAATATGCAGGAGCCGCCTTATCAGGCGCTAACTACTAGTCCTATGCCACTTGGCTAATATCTCCCTATATGTGTATGTCTGCGTGTGTGCTGGAGATGTAATGTGTTCTGTTTGTAGTGGGACAGTGCTTCCAACAGCATCAATTGTATAGTGCCACCTTACTTATATATATATTTAAGTCATATTTGATTTCTAACGTCAAAACAGCAAATCGTAAATATATTTCAAATCACGAGACCGTTACCACTGTGTAGGATTGCCATTTGTATTTTCTGGTAGTGTAGAGACAAATA